ACAATGACTGTACAAATAAATATTATAACACATTATACACACGATCACAACTATCTCTACCATGATATATAGTATTTACAATGGATCAGATCTCTTCTCCCCTCCAAATAAAAGTCCAGAAGGGAAAGGAGGACAGATCCCTTCCAGTCTCTGAAAATCAGTATCTTCTAAGGCAGCAGGTTCTCCTCATCTCATGCATGCAGCAGCTGTAACTGGATTGTTGTAGCTGGATCTCTTTTCAATACACACAAGGGGGTCTCTAAGCCCCTCGACTCTCCTTCGGTCCAAGCGAAGGCCTCACCTGTGGACTGCCAGCAGGGACAAGACTCGCGTCACCACAGGTATATCACGAAATGCAGGGGCATCTTTGTGAAAGTCCCTTCCTCAGGGGATTCAAATTCCCCTTTGCAGAGCTCCTGTGCTCTGTCTCAACTGCCAACGTGGCAGCAGTGGCGAGGGGGGCGGCCAAGGTCACCCCCCTCTGCATTCCTCTCCATCCTGGTCCAGCTTCCCAGGATGCTTTTGAGCTTCTTAGCTCCTCTCTCTCTCTCCGGTGCTGCATGTCTAAAACTCTTCTCCAAAATAGGAATCCATGTACTCCTCCTCTTTCTAGGAGGGGTCTCCAAGGGAGTTTGGGGGGGGGAATCTGGTACAGTTCTTACCCCCAGAACTCTGTAGCTCTGCTGCTGACTCTCCTTCTCGGCTCTCCGAGACAACTTGGTGTCTTCCTTACTCAGTTGCATGTCTCTGCTGCTTCTCCGGTTCAGGTCTTATCTGCCACCGTTTCTCTGGTCAGTGCCGGCTGCTGAAACATCTCCAGGTTCAACTACAGACACTTAGTCCAGCTTAACACTGTTCCAAGTCTCTGCAGTCCCCCCCCAGCCAGGGGCTGGGAGGCCCCAGAGGCCCCGAGGGGCTCAGAGCCCCTTCCTCGTGGCTCTGCAACATGGCCACCACTCCTACAACAACCAAACTACCACTTGTCTCTTCCAGTCAGCTTGTGGATATGTTTACGTTTTGCAGGAGCGCCCATTGGGCAAAACTTCAAAACTTCCAGGGGTTTCCGCCCCTTGGGGTCTACCACTTTTTTAGCCTCTGGGGGAAAACAAAGTCTAAACCACTACATGAAGAAGAATTAAATTGCGTGCATTTTATGTGTAAGAGAGGATGAAGGCAAGGACACCCTGAGGTGCCTTAAGGATGAGTCCTCTTAGCAAGAAATTTGCACATTGGAGGATAGAAAAAACCAGTAGAACATGAGACCTTGAAGATGGGAAATGTAATGAAACTTGGGAAACTTCCTTTCTGTTTCTGTCTAACCTGAATTACCCCTTCTGTGATTTTTGCGTAGTTACAGTAGTTAAAACTGTGGAATAGTTTAATAGGTAGACTGCAGTTTCTCCATTACTGGTGATTTTAAAGAAAATGGGATGTATCAGGTAGAGCTGAATCTGGGTTTCCTCAGCATCCCAAGTATCTTTTAACAGCTTTTACGGACTGCGGGTGCCACAAAATAGTAATTCATTCCTTTAAACTGTGTAAGTATGTATAAATGTATGCATAAATAATTGCATTGATTTACAAATAATAGTTATGGGTTTGTTTATTTCTGGTTTCTCTGTTTCTGGATGATCTTTTTAGAAGATGCAGGACCAAAGGACTTTCAGAACGGTCCTGTAATCTTGTTGATAGGGCAGTAGCCAGTTCAACCTGAAGAGTAAGAACCCAAATAGTTTTTTTTCTATCTAGCTTGTTTTTATATGCTTGCAAGAAAACAACAGCATACAGTGTGGTGTCCTATAACATTGTTATGGGCCAATTCCAGTGAAACATATCCTTCCCTTTTTTAAACTATCAACGCAGCTTTTTTAAAAATGGAAAGCTTCTCTGTGTTTTGTTTATATGGACACAGAATTCAAGTTTATCAGTTTCCTCCCCTTTCATTTAATAGAAAGTTCACAGCACTTGCCCTAGTTCCTTCCAAGGCTCTGATACAAATACTTGTCTTTGCTAAAGAAACATCTGAAGTGCTAGAATCATGAACCTTTTAATCGTTTAAACAACAGAAAATTGTTTTGAATCTTGCTGCTGCTTCAGGAGAGCTGGAATTTCTGATATTACAAAAGAAAATGCGCATACTTGCCTACAGGCTGATGCCTGAAGCATCTTATGTGTAACCACATGCAAATTGTTGCCTTGGAAAGAGTGGCTTCCCAAACTTGAATGTATTTCTAGGCTATTCCATGACTCTAATCAAAGAAAATTGTAAGTATGAGAAAACTAAAAAAAACTCAATAACAGAAGTTTTTTGTTTTGGACTAGTTTAGCCAATAGAACTGTATTTCATTAGATTTAAATGTAGAAGTTAAAATACCTTAGAAAACTAATTTGATAAAACAGATTGTGTCCATTTGCCATTCAGATTGGTGATAGAGGTCTTGAGAAGTAATCACAGTTTGTGTAGTGTGAGACTCTGGGGTTTACTGCAACCCTTACATTTAGGGCTCTCAGTCCCAATAAAAAAAGGCTTGATCGATCTTGTATTACTGGCTTATCTGAGAGCTAGCAGACACTGAATTTATGTTCATGAATCCATAGTCTGTGTCTCATGCCCACTGCTTTGTTGTAGTAGTCTGCATCAGAAACAGGATTTGGGGTCTCAGATATGTTTAACTGTTTTGTGCTATGAAGTTTGGTCAATTTGAATTACTTTGTGATGCAGTGAAGCTTGAAGAATCCTACGTGTAGTTTTCTCCTTATTAGCAAAACAATGAATTCATGGTTACTGGCCTCAAGGAAAAGATGCATTTATTTAATGTTAGCTTTATGGTCTTTCATTCCTTTGTGACTGTCATACACAGATCAATAAGGCATTAAAAAAAAAACAGGGTACTGAGAGAATCTTTCAGCATATTGTGGTGGAAGAAATGCATCATTATAATTTCATTGTGTGCTGCTCACTCTTTCATTAGGCTTCCACTTGGAGTATCTAAAGCTAGAGATTTTTGTTTAGTGCTTGTTCTGGCTTGATTCAGTTTCAAGACTGGAGTCTCATATATACTTATATATTACTTTAGTTCTAACCAAAGAAATCCTTGGACATATAAGCTTAGGTTTATAGTTCAGTATAAATGTATAAGCTACCATAAACCTGGACGGTAAAAATAGTGAAATTCTATGGTGGTTTTCATTGTAGGACTAAAACATACTGTTTCCGTTCAGGATTTGCAGTTACTTGCTTAGTCTTGTTTGGATATTTAAAAATGAATGATAATTCATTGAAGATGATGTTTCTACTTCTAACAAGGCATGAATTCATATCTACTGTTCAGGGTGGAGGGAAACAATAAAAATCTGGAAAGCTGCAATCAAAACATTGAAGCTAGAAGCAAATGGATTAAAGGCCTTTTGAGTTGTGTTGGCACTTTTTCCTTTTTGAGAAGGTTTTTAAACTAACAGCTTGAGCTACATAAAGTTGAAATATTTCTCAAGTGTTTGTTTATGCGAATTGCTTTCTAATGAGGTCATAGATGTTTTCCCGGACACAGTGGTATTTCCTCTTCTTACTCTTATTTTTTATGCTGCTTTCTACATTATGCCTTGAAGACAGACATATAAAAATCAAACATTGCTCAAGATACTTCCAAGTTTCAACGCTAATGCTTTATGATCATATCAAATCATAGCTTCTGAAAAAATACATTGGTTAACTAGACAGTGCTTCACTTCAGGTGGCTGTTTTCAGGTATCTTGGACTAGTGTCATAGGAGGCCAAAAAGCTTATTCTGAAGTGGGGAAGAGGGAGGAGGCTTAAGTCATTGAATAATATAATGATGATACTGTGAAGTCATGATTTCCTTAATTACTAATGTGGAGTCTTATAGTTGAACATAAATTCAGAGTATTTTTTCTACAGTGTCTTGAGTCACAGTGATTCAGCCCTGGGCCGTGGAGCTACACGACATTGTGTGTGGGGGGAATCAGTTGAGCTGGTTGAACAGAGTGCAGTTTGCTGGCAATAGGTGGTGGAGGTGGGGGGAAGTTCATATGTATGGGGTAACTGCAAGGTCAAAAGCCCTAACAAGACCTTATGATATATTCATGATGATCTGCTTCATAATCCAGAACCAAACCTCTTCAGGATAAAAAAATAATAATCATGAAAAAAAGTTGATTAAATCTGCAAACTGTTTCATTGGTTTAGGGAGCATCTTTTTTTCCGCCTTTCATTTTTTTTTAATGTTAACCAAGTAAATAGACAATGTCCTTTGCAAAATACTTCAGAATTTTTAGAGGCTCTTAGTTTCTAACAAAGTTTGGATTTAATTATATGTCAAGGCTCTGCTGTAGATAGAAGCACACAAGAAATAGCTGTCTTATGTTTTTGAAACACTAAAGTGATCACATAAATATTATTACAATTCAGAAGTATAATTGTGAGCTGGCTATTACAGCTCCAGGTTGTTTGAAGTGTTCACTTCTGCATAACAGATCATGCAGTCACAAAATGTTTGTTGGAGTTTTTAACCTATTGATTGGACAGCTTTAGTGCAATTTATCCACCTGAGTACCAAGTCCTGCAGAAAGGAAGATTACACTTAAGACACATCAGAAACTGTCTTCTTAAAACAGAAAAATCTATTGTTTCATGTGCTGAATTTTGAAGTAGCTTCAGGCTCATCCAGAATGAGAAATATTTAACACCTGTGAAGAAATACCAGTGCTGTAACCTTCCTTAAGGATTTTTTTAAAATTGAGACTTTTAATTGTAGATAATTGCTCTGAAAGTAATTTTCAATAGCATTTTATTTTATTCCGTTGTTGAAACACGATAAAATATACCATGTTCCTAAAAATAAAATAAAATAAGATTGTAGTTAAGTTTAAAACATGAAAGAAAAATCAACTGTCTCTTTTATATCTGTTCTTGTCAGTAGCAACATGAGCTTAACTATTTCCCATTTAACAATATCTGTAAAATACTTTTTTCTTTCTTTCAGAAGTGAAGCCAACTTGCATATTTAACAGCATGGAATATTATGATGGAGACATGTTTCGGATGGATGCTTGTCGATTTTGTCGATGCCAAGGCGGAGTCTCTATTTGCTTCTCTGCCCAGTGTGGTGAGCTACACTGCGACAGGTACTATGTGCCGGAAGGGGAGTGCTGCCCAGTGTGTGAAGGTACAGTATCTTTTTAATGCTGTTCGCATTTAATTCTGCTGCTTTTTTTTATTTGCATGTTCAATGGAAATGAGCAAACAAGGGCTTTTGTTCTTCTGAGGCTTGTAGATTCCTCCTTAATTCAATTTATTTCTACATTTGTGCTGTGCCTGAGTGTGCTGTTTTGTTCTTTGCAGCGCTTCTCTGACATTGACACTCTGCCTTTTCTATACAGAGCTGTTTGGCTTTCCCTTCTGCATCAGAACCTCCTTAAATGTGATCAAGTGTGCAGGGATTCTGTGGGGGCCTTCTTCATAGAGGATATAAAAAGCTGTTTCTAACTTCTGCACTGGACATTTAGACAGGCATCTTCATAGCAGCAGTTGTGACCCTAAGACACAGATCCATTGCTTTGCAACCTGCTTCTTTTCGTGTTCAACTAGAGCAATGCATATACCTTCTCTGCTCTACAATTATATATATACAACTCCTTTGCCCTGCTGAGAACCCCCTCCTCTGCTTGGTAGGCCTGCAGTCCTCCTAAAAAGGTCTCTCTGTAAAATTTCACGTTGACCCTCTTGCTTATGCTACAAAATATTGAAAGCATCTTCTGCCAGAACACAACCAAGATTCCAGCAAACTGGCATGGACTAGCACTCTACACCTGGATCATGCCCCAGGGGGGATCAGGCTTTGGCCACTGCATAGTCAAAAGGCCTGTGAAGCACTCCTACTCCCTTTGTTTAAATGTGCATTTAGGGATAGATTCTCAATAAGTGAAATCAGCTGGAAATCTCAAATCTCCTCCTCAGATAAGAGAAATCTAATAATTAAAAAAGAAAGCTCTGATCGCTTTCTTAATAACCTGGGTAATGTTGACACCTAAATTGACAAGGTAAGTCTTCTAGATAGGCAGAATAAATACCTAACAGCCCACCCATTCATGCTTTTCTAGTTGTTGAAGAGGTGGCATTCTTTTCTACCTGCTTTTCTTCAGTGGATTATTTCATGACTGGTTTTCAAGGTGATTCATTGTTTCCTACTAATGTTACTTGATGATAGAAATATAAAGAATATAAAGCTTTCTTCTTTTCTGTAGGAATTCTAAAACAGTAATGGTAGAGTTGATGTGAGTTGTGTATTACAGGCATAAGCCCTTCTTGCCTTAACTCCTGGAGGAATTCTTTCTCAAAGTCCTGTAGGATATATCAGCATTAGGATATGTAATTTGCTGGACTCAATTTATAGCTTTAAACACGACTGACCTTTTGAGGATACCAGGAACTTTGTGGTTTGAGTCACATAGAAGACTATTGCAAATAGCACAAGTCTTATATGGCTTTTCTGTGCTTTCTCTGTATTCCTCTGTCAATCACAATCCTGTATATAAGTTGAAGGATAAAATTCACTTCATTTGTTTGTTTATGGTTTGATTTTTGACTAAGTCAAAATAGTTGTTTACAGATGTAAGGTAATCCTAAAACATGAAAGGTGCAAAGTTAAGAGCTTAGGAAACATTTTAATTTTTAAGTGCCTTATTTTCACAAACACATGATTCTTGGTTTAACACATTTTACTGGAATTGTGAATATCACTACAGTTCAGGATAGGGTAGAAGTTGTGAGCAGTTTCAATGCAAATATTTAATGTCATAAAGTGGCTTATAATAAGACAACAGTTACTTAGCACCGCTACGTGCTTTTCCTACACTCAAAATGCATTGCCTTCCTTCCAGAGAGGAGTGATGAAACTTCCTTTAGATAGGATGTCTTATTTCTCCCAAGTCCTTTAAACTTAACACTCTTGAAAAATTAACTTATAGGTAAATCACTTGTGCTTATTTGATGTCCACTAAAAATGTTTTCAGTTGTATCTATTGCTTTTATTATATTAGATTTGCTTTTATATGTAATTTTTATTATTGCTTGCTTTGCAAATTTGACCTACTTACTGTACATTCTCAGATACTTAATTTTTGAGCCTGACAGTTTTATTTTTATTAGCCACCATGATAAATTGTATATATTCACATAATGTATATATGCTTTTTACTATTAATATTAGCATAACTTATCAAGTTTCTGGAGTAATACTATTTCTGAAGAGTAAAAGCTGCTTTTACTTCAAGTCATGGGTTTGCATATACAGGGTTGCATTATTTATTTATGTGAAACTTGATGAGAAATGTAACGTAAAGTATGTTCCATAAAATTATGTTACTTAAATACCAAAATCTTCATTTGGTTTCTAGCACATAAGTGGGTCCTGTGGCCTTTCAGGGGAAAAAACTTCACCTGAAATGAAATTGAAAACTGAGCCAGATCATCTGTTCAGAAAAACTAGTATATCTCCAAAACTGTGATGAGATGTAGCTTAAGGCAATCTTCTTGCTCTAGCAAGAAATGTGCCAGAGATCTCATCTTTGCTCATTGTATAAAGTAGTGATATAGTGCTGACAGGAGTCATTCCAATGGTTCATTTAGATGTTTTCAGTTTCCTTCAGAAAGCTGGAACAAAAAAGAAATCAATAGATCTAAGATCCATTTCGTTCTGAAAAACAAAATCAGAAAATCAAAACATTAAGCCTCGTTCTCTTACAATTCCTCTCATTTCAGACCCACTTTATCCAGTAAATAACCCTGCTGGCTGCTATGCCAATGGTCAGATCCAAGCTCACGGAGACCGCTGGCGAGAGGACGACTGTACCTTCTGCCAGTGCATCAATGGAGATCCACACTGTGTTGCCACGGCCTGCGGACAGAGCTGCCTAAATCCTGTTAAAGTCCCCGGGGAGTGCTGCCCGGTGTGTGAAGGTAAGATTGGTATTTCCTCTTATTTTGCTTTCCTCTGTCATGACTGCTGCTTACGTGGTAATTCTTGGTTTACTTGAAAATTTTGGAGGATTGAAGTAGCTGATACAGCATTGCCTGGTGACTGAATAAACCACTGAGGACAAAAAACATCAGCATGGTTTAACTATACCTGTATGTGGCAATCGTGATACTCTTTTGGCCCAGAAGGGTATAGTAAGAGATGGTTTAAGATCAACATTTATAAGTCCTATGGGGAGAGGCTGAGGGAGCTGGGGTTGTTTAGCCTGGAGAAGAGGAGGCTCAGAGGTGACCTCATCACCGTCTATAACTACCTGAAGGGAAGTTCTAGCCAGGTGGGGGTTGGTCTCTTCTCTCAGGCACTCAGCAATAGGACAAGGGGGCACGGGCTTAAGCTCCGCCAGGGGAAATTTAAGTTGGATATCAGGAGAAAATTCTTTACAGAGAGAGTAATCAGGCATTGGAATGGGCTGCCCAGAGAGGTGGTGGATTCACCATCCCTGGAGATTTTTAAGCGCAGATTGGACGTGGCACTGAGTGCCATGATCTAGTAAATGGACTGGATTTGGACCAAGGGTTGGACTCGATGATCTCGGAGGTCTTTTCCAACCCAATCGATTCTATGATTCTATGATTCTATGATTATTCACCGATGTTGCTCTTAGCTTTTCTTAAATCGTATTAGTAAATATAGGAGAAGTTAGAAGATCAGAAATGTTCATCAGTTGGTATTACTGTTAACTGGATTATTCCTGGTTTCTTCTTCATCAATGTCATTTAGTTGCAACTAAAAATCTTTTTGCACACTATAGTTTGATACTGGGCATAAATATTTCAATTAAACTTATAAAAGGTGGTGGTATCTGGGAGATAGACTATTTTTTGAAGTTTAAAATTGTATTTTCATTCATTTGTGGAAATACATGCATATGGTATAAATCACTGAGATTTAACTTATCCATATGGAAATGTGGACAATGGAAATGTCAAGACTTGCAAACTGAGACAAAAAAATATTTTAAATTATATACATAAATGTACATTTAGAATTGCATTTTATGGAGGAGTAGTTCATCAGGAAAAAGACCAGGTTACTAAATTTAGAATTGTTTAATCTAGACCTGTTGTCAGAGCCATCTTCGCAATATACAAACACTTGTGGGTGCTCAGTGAGCTGCCATTAAGATTTGTCTGTTCTCTCTCTGATAGAAGAAAATTATTTTTCTGTATCTGCATGTGTCTCAGGGCCCTTCTTGGTTTGCAGTATCCATCCAAGTAAGTTCACTGAGATACTTACTTTTTAGGATAAATTTGAGGAGCATAAGAGTTTTTTACAGGTGCTCTTTAATTCCAAAATTCACATCACAAGGTATGAAGAAGGTGTCTGATAATGTGTAAAAGCTGCCGGTGAATTGTAGGGAGTTGCTACTTGCACTGAATTAATTTTACTATGAAGAAGCAGGTTAAGTGCCTTTAATCCCCAGTGATCACCTCATGATGGATATCACAGAGTTATTTGCTGTCACCACTCATTATTTAGGTATCTGTGAGTGAGCTTGGGAAGGTAATACAGAGAGAGAGAGAGAGACTGATGGACATATTTTCAATATGTTAGTATGTTCAGAGGATTTTTTTTTTCCTCCAGTGAAGGAAGGAGAGGCAAACGTCTCTGATTTCCTGTTCCAGACTAGAGAAACTGGATTAGAGATAACTGAATTAAATGCTTATATATATTGAACTGAGTTAATTAAGAAGAACTGTGGGCAGCAAACAGGGTAGAATGTAGGCTTCCATCATTCATTATTGAAGGTCGCAATATAAACAAGCTGGTACTTCTTTAACATACCACACTAGTGCCTCTGCAGTGCTTTGAGGACTCAAGTTACCTCCTCTGGACTAGGTTAGGTAATTCTATGCAATAACATGTATTTTGTTTTAGAACAAGATGCAGCTAGCAACTGTTTAAGTCCATAAAATTTTGTAGTTGTTAAGGGTGTGGGGTGTAGTGTGAAATTATACTTATTATAGAAACAGACAAAGACTAACAGAATAGCACAATAGAATCAATATTTAAATGAGGTCCTTGTGTCATTTTAATTATATTTTATCCAAAAATAATCTGGCTTCTTATTTGTTTGTCATGTTAGCTGTTGTATGATATATATGCTTAATTGTAGTCGTCTGGTTTTGAGTGTGTCATCTGGAAGACAATAACACTGAATGGTATTTTGAGCAACTATCCTAAATTTTAAGCTTAAAAACATCACATTTGAATTGGTCTTTCTTTGATAACACATACTGCCAAATAATCAATGGGTAATGAAATTATGTAAATGGTGAAACTAACAATTAGTGGAAGTACCTTTAGTTGTTGCCAGGATGAGATTTAAGTGTATTTGGGTACCAGTGGTCAGAGAATATCTGAAAATACTTGAATCCTCTCCGCTTTCTTCCCTTCCCTCTCCTACAGCAAAGTAATATAACAAAACCAGATTATTTTGCTCCATTACTGCAAGTTATTTAATTCCAGGAATCCAGATTTGGGATTATTTCAAAGATGAAAAATCTGGACTGTTAAAACTTATCAGTGAGTTCAGATGCTAGCACCCAAGATTTAAAAAAATTGAGTTTGCAAGAAGCAGTTTTGGATGACTTCGTCAGAAATTATTCAGCATCTGAGACTTATCTTGCAATCATAGTAAATAAAAAAATCCCTGAGAAATGAACCATCAAGGGTACCAGTAAATTTCTTGAAGTTATATTTTGAGGCATCAAATGAGTTGAAGGCTGCTATGCCTTGTGATCAGCAGCCTGAATAAAAATATTTAGATATATGAGAGCAAGGTTTAACCGGACTAGACGTTTGAGACCTGTGTGTCTTTCTGAATCTGTTAACATTTTTCTTTGAAAGTACACATTAAAAAAACTCCAGAACATTAGGAAAAAATCACAATGTGTTAAAGGTTGGCTGTCTGCATTTAATATTAAGACTGTGTATTTTAAAATTATTTTTGAAAAAATAAATGTTTGAGCTGACGGCAGCAGAGACTTGTATATAAGTCATTGACTTCTGGCCCACCCCCAAGGTCAGATAGCATTATGTGTCTTAAGCCTTAAATCTGAGATTAGTAGTGTTTCTACTTGGAGTTTAATGCATGGGATAGGAAATAAGTACTGTCTGCCTTCATTGCAATACAGGTGTTGCTTGCTAACCCAGTAGGCTTCTTTAGATTTCTGTTCTCTGGTTTTCTCCTTATAGAAGGGCTGAACTGGGAGAAGTATGCCATGGCAAGACAAGCCTTAAAAACATTGCTTCCTTCACACATCTTACTATCCCAAATTTAAGTTATATCATTTTAATGACAACCTGGTCCCATTTAAAATGCTATTTTATTTCTGCCATCACTGATATCTGATGCATGGATTGGTGCTCCTTCCCCTTTTAAATCAGCTTTTCACTCTTCTTCCTGAGCATTGATTCTGTTGATGATACAGAAGTTCTGCCACTGGTACTCACTGTGTTGTTGCAACCTAAAAGGTTGTTGCAAAGAAAAAGATTGGACAAGAAAGAACGGAATTGGATTACAAGAGGGAAGATGTGCTTTAGAAGGCAGAAAGTTGTTGAGGAAAACAAAATTCCTCCTGTGGCATGTTGGGACTAAGGTTGTCTTTTTGATGTGTTTAGGGCATGGCAGTTGAATTTTCAGCCTCAGTGAAACAAGATTTGCTCAGGAAGTTGCTTACATAACTGAAAGCAGTAATGGTAAATCACATGTAGCTTTCAGTGTTTATGCAAGTGATGGCTGTGGCTCACCAATATACAGCTCAACATAAAGCTGCTTTTCTTTTTTTTTCTTTTTTTTTTTTAACTAAACACCAAAGTGATCAAAACCCTTTTGGCAAGATATCTTGTTATAATATATCACTTCTTGCCAGTTATCTGATGCAGCAATGACCACCAATAAAAGCCCAATGTATCAGACAGGGAACTGGCTGCTTTAAGGTGACTGTTTCCACAGGGAGAGAGGCAGAAAGGAAGGGTCACAGGAAAAGCACGAAGCTGGAGACAGAGGCACAGTGAGACAGTTTGGTGAGGAGAGGAAGACGTTCATCATTGGCCTGTCCCCAAACCCAAGCTCTTCAGCTGATACAGCTTTTCAAGCCAGGCACTGGTGGGAGCTGGGAAAATCAGACCTGTCCCATTCTGTGGATCCAGCACAAACAATTAGTTTTAAACTTCTGATGGATGCTTCTATATAGCTTCTATAGCTGCTGTAATGATACTGGTCCTTTGGGATTTGCCTTTGTTTGTTTAGTCTATTATCTATTTAGTTTGTTTTCTCTTTCTTTGTTTTCTAGACAGTCTTCATTAAGAGCCAAGGCTTAGGTAATCAGACTGGCCCTCTGTGCTTTCCCCGTGGTTTTAGAGCTAGCGGCTTCTAGCAGCACAAGGAAGTCTCAAAGAGAACACATTTCTACACATTAATGAAAACAGACAGCTAGGTAGAGAGGAGAAAGTGGTTTTTCAAGTGTCAAAAGGGACTGCAAAATTTTGCTATCTACTCACACTTCTTTTGGCTTAGAGGTTCTTCACAGTGGCTGGTCTGGGTTCCTGTTCTGTTGGAGCTAACCAGATCTATTGGCAATCAGGTGCAGTTAGTATTGCTACTTACAGTTACTTATTTCTCCGCTGGCCTAACAACTCTTTTCTTTCCAAATAATATTGCTGTGGTTTAAACAGCAATTCCATTTTTAATGAACTTTATTAAAAAAAGGGGAATAAAACGTATGAATATATAATAGCATATAAATAATACTAAAGAAGCTACAGTGATAGAAATAACCAGGTTTCCCACAGACCATCTACAAATTGGAATAATAGCTGTGTTCACAGCAAGTAAATATTGGGTAAGATAGTATGAAAATACCTAATTTTTTCCTTTTTTTTTATTTTTTTGTTTGTTTTTTGTTTTGTTTTTTAA